TTCCCCCTCCTCTCCCTCCCCCGTCCCCCATCACGCCTCTCCTCGTCTTCCTCCTCCCCCTCCTCCTCCTTCTCCTCACCTCTTCCTCGCTCTCCCTCCTCCTCCTCCTCCTCCTCCTCCTCCTCCTCCTCCTCCTCCTCCTCCTCCTCCTCCCCCTTCTCACCTCTTCCTGGCTTTCCCTGCTCCTCCCCCTGCTCATCTCTCCTCCTCCTCCTCCTCCTCCTCCTCCTCCTCCTCCTGCTTCTCCATGACATTTCCTTATAGATAATTCTCCCTGTCGCACTCCGAGGCCAGTTTTTAGTGCGGGCCGGGCGTTTCGCCTGAGACTTCCTCACGATGTATGACCTTTCAGTTTAAACAGTGGCAACAGTTTCGCACATGGAGGGTGGGTTGTTTTCAAAATGTGGCCCTCGCCTCAGTGTCACGCGCATTCGTTTTAAACATGTGCAAGAGCTTCACGGATTGAGGGCGTGCCGTTTTCAAAATTTGGTTCTCGCTTCAGCGCCGCGCACATTCGTTTTCAACATTTGCAAGAATTGTGCAGATTGAGAGCGGTTCTTTCTTCAAGATGCGGCTCTCGCCTTAGCGCCGCGTGCATTCAGTGTTTAAAATGTTGCAAGAGTTTCGCGGATGCTTATGATCAGCGTACCAGAAATGGTGTTTTTGGAAGGATTCAGGATTATGAGTGTGCAACAGTTGTGTTGATTCGCGGTGTTGAAGTCACAAGAATGGCGCTCCGGCACGAGTTAGGACCGACTAGACGCTACAGTCAGGATCATCCGTGTCGTTGGAATCCCGAGAACAAGGTTTTGGCATGCTTCAGGGTCTTGAAACAGTTGTCTTCCATCGAGGCAGTTCCCCCAGTGAGAAATGAACCGTCGTAGGAGCCTACGAAGAAGGAGCTTGGAGGGAGGGTTTATTCCAACATCGTTCATGATTCTTGGGTTTACACTGGTCCTCCTCCTCCTCCTCCTCCTCCTCCTCCTCCGTCTCTTCCTCCTCCTCCTCCTCCTCCTCCTCCTCCTCCGTCTCTTCCTCCTCCTCCTCCTCCTCCTCCTCCTCCTCCTCCTCCTCCTCTCCACCTCCTTCTCCTTACTCCTCCCGCCCCTCCTCCTCCTCCTCCTCTCCCTGCCCCGCCTCCTCCTCGTCCTCCTCCTCGGTCGGTCGGACGCGGAAGGCCTTGGGGCCACGCGGCCTATCCGAAGGTCGGGTGCCGTCCGCCCCGCGACGTGGGACCCCAGAAGACCCAGCGGCCCCAGACGCGGGACAGGAGCCAGGCCGGCGCACCAGCCCGCGACGTGGAGGCGCCGGGGAGGACCTGGCATCGCTCGGACGTGTGCAGTTTGTCTCGGCGAGAACATCGAGGACCACATCCTGGACCATCGAGCAACAAAAAAAAAAACACGCACGAAACCGACAAATGCATGGGAAATGGACGTCCGAGCGACGGCAAGAGGCCCCAGACGCGGGACAGGAGCCAGGCCGGCGCACCCGCCCACGACGTGGCGGCGCCGGGGAGGAGGAGAGAAGGCCAGGCGAGACCCTGACCTTCCTGAGAGCTATTTTCTAGCACTGGAGACCTAAAAACCCGAAAAAAACGAAGCGAAGCTGCCTATAAACCAAAACGTAGAAGAGCTCTAGGATAGGTTTTTAGGTCGGGTGCTATTGTTTAGCCTTCCTGGAAGTTCAGGTCACCACCCACCAAACCACCCCAACCCAACCCGAAGGCTCAGATTTACCCTCGATCTCCAGTGGGGGGGGGGTCGGGGAACATCGAAAAAACACGTGTGGAACCCTTACCCCCCCCCAACCCGAAATTCGGGTCTTCGGGTTGGGTTGGGGTGGTCTGGTAGGTAGTCAGGGGAGGGCGCGTCGGCCTGCAGGGCCCGCCGAGGACCCCCCGGCCGGCTGGCCCCCCCCCCGCGGGAACAAGGGAGAGCCGGGCACCGCCCGCTGCGCGCGCCGAGCCCCGCCCAGCAGCACCGGCATGCACGGCCGGCGCCCTCGCCCGCACGGCAGCGCCGCCACCCTGTCCTCCTCCTCCTCCTCCTCCTCCTCCTCCTCCTCCTCCTCCTCGTCCTTCCTCCTCCTCCTCCTCCTCCTCCTCCTCCTCGTCCTCCTCCCTTCCTCCTCCTCCTCCTCCTCACCTCTTCCTCCTCCTCCTCCTCCTCCTCCTCCTCCTCCTCCTCCTCCTCCTCCTCCTCCTCCTCCTCCTCCTCCTTCCTCCTCCTCCTCCTCCTCCTCCTCCTCCTCCTCCTCCTCCTCCTCCTCCTCCTCCTCGTCCTGCTCCCCCTCCTTCTTGAGGCCTCGTCGGCGGTGGTGGCCTCCGCCAAGACAGTGGGTTTGGCCGTGGGCCCCGGCCCGCGAGGGGTGCCCGTGGCGGCCTTGCTCAGCAGATGGGCGGCTCGGCCTCGGGACCGGGGGCTGTCAGGTGGCCGAAAACGTAATGCGTCACGAGCGGCTTCTGTAGAAAAAACGTTGGGACATGCATGGCGTGCCTTGAGCATGTGCCCTTCCGGAGCTGCTCGTTTTCCCCTAACCCTCCTGCGGTGGATTCTCGTTGTGACTAGAGCACGATGATCTCCGCCCCATCTCCTGCCTTCGCAGGCCTAGAGGTTGACATCAACACCAAGATCGGCGGTGTGCCTCCACCGAGGGAAGACGATCCCGATCTCGGTGATGGTGGTAATATTCTGGCTTCCAAGGTGACCGAAATATTACCACCAACAACGAAATCTAGTATCATCTTTCCCATGTGGAGGCAAACCCCTGTGCTGGTGTTGGTGCCAATTTCCAGGCCTCCAATGCCTCCCTCCTCCCGTGCTCCTCCTGCGCTGATCCCCGGGGCGGCTGCGCACTGCACACCCGTCGCCATTTTCTCGTGGGTTCCCGGGAGGCGCGGCGGAGGGGGGGAGTACGCGGACCCAGTCGAGGCCTCGCGGCCCACCGGGGGTTCGCGTAATGCGCAATTGCCGCCACTTTCGTGGTCTCTTGGGAGACACGGCGGAGTATCGCAGGCCTAGAGGTTGACACCAACACCAATATGGGCGGTGTGCCTCCACCGAGGGAAGAAAATCCCGATCTCGGTGGTGATGGTGGTAATACTCTGGCTTCCAAGGTGACCGAAATATTACCACCAACACCGAAATCTAGTATCATCTTCCCCCTGTGGAGGCAACCCCTCTGTGTTGGTGCTGGTGCCCATTTCCAGGCCTCCAAAGACACGGCGGAGTACGTAGGGTAGTAGGCAGGCCCATCCGAGACCTCGCAGCTTCCTGGGTGGCTGCGGACTGCGCAGCTGTCGCCACTTTCGTTGGTTCCTGGGAGGCACGGCGGAGCAGGAGAGTGCGCGGACCCAGTCGAGACCTCGCAGCTCCCTGAGTGGTTGCGAACTGCGCGACTGTCGCCACTTTCGTTGGTTCCTGGGAGGCACGGCGGAGTCGGGGAGTGCGCGGACCCAGTCGAGACCTCGCAGCTCCCTGAGTGGTTGCGAACTGCGCGACTGTCGCCACTTTCGTTGGTTCCTGGGAGGCACGGCGGAGTCGGGGAGTACGCGGACCCGGCCGAGACCTCGCAGTTCTTTTCTGGGTGGTTGCGAAATCCGCAGTTGTCGCCATTTTCGTAGGCTCCCGGGAGGTCCAGACCTCGCCGCTCCCAGCGAGGTTGCCAATCGAACAACTGTCGACACTTTCGTGCGCAGGAGTGGGTGCTGCGTATCTCTCAACGTGTTCGTTTGTGACGAGCACTCCTTTTAGTAGTCGCTTTGCGTAGAGACGGTGTGGGGCAGTTCTCGGGTAACGTGTTGTTGTGCTCCACACGGGGGGGGGGGGTCGTCCAAGACTAGCAGTCGTTCAGAAGTTGCGTCGTAGAGGGGCGGGGGGGAGTTCTTGTGTTCTAGAGTGGTTGTCCTGGCGCAGGGCCCAACCATGTGCAAGAGCGACCACCGCAAGGCAGGTGGAGCGAAGATGGGGTGACGCCATGCGGGCGCTGCCCACGGGGACCGGGCGCCCCGTGGGGTCACGAAACGTGACACGGGTGTGCCGATGTGTGCGGGGGGAGACGCCATGCGGGCGCTGCCACTGGGCCTTCGGTGGGGCTCCCTGTGGGGCCAGGGAGCGTGTGAAGGGTGTGCCGACATGGGCGGAGTGGCTCCATGCGGGCGTTGCCACCAGGGCCCTGGCGTGTCGAAATGTGCGAGGCGACGTCAGGAGGGCGCTGTCACCGGGGCCTGGGGTCTTCGGCGGGGCTCCGTGTGGGGTCACGAAACGTGTGAGGGGGTACGCCGAAATGGACGGGTAGAACCATGCGTGCGCTACCACTAGGGCCTTCGGTAGACCTTGCTAAAGGGCCACAAAAAGTGCGAGCGGTGCGCCGAGCTACTAATAATGCTGTTGCCGTTCATGATGGTGAAGATGATGATGATGCTGATGCTGCTGATGATGATGCTGCTGATGATGATGATGATCATGATGATGGTGGTGGTGATGGGTGATGGTGGTGGTGATGATGATGGTGATGGTGATGGTGGTGATGATGGTGATGATGGTGACGATGGTGATGATGGCGATGATGGTTATGATTATGATGGTGATGGTAATAGCGATGGTGACGATGATGGTGATGGTCATGATGATGATGATGATGATGATGATGATGATGATGCTGATGATCATGATGATGATGATGATGATGATGATGATGATGATGAACATGATGATGATCATGATGATGCTGATGCTGATGATGATGATGATGCTGATGGTATCGATGATGACCTGCTGGACACGGCATAAGCAAGGAGAGGAGCAAAGAAGGAGAGGGGCGGACGTGAGGGGAGGTGACGTGGGGCGCTGTGTGTTCAGAGCGAGGACCCAACAACACTACAGGATGGCTGGGGAGAGCACACCAAACATAGGTTGCACCGCGTGGCCCGCCCCCGCTTCTCGACACACGCCTGTTTAGACACGCTCAGTGCATCCCAAGGCTACAGGTCTCGCAGTTCCCCCGTCGCTTTAGAATCGCTCCGCTGCTAAACCTCGATGAAGAAACACGGCAGAAGCATGTGATCGGTTTCGTATTCATTGTTTTGCCGATCGGCGCGGGCCTTCGCACCACCCCTCCCACGGAGCAGATCTTGGCTGCTTTTGGCGCCTGTGTCGAGCAGGTGGAGCCTTCCCCCAGGACGCCCTGGTGGGTGCACACAGTCGCACGCAGCAGAGGTCCAGAGCCAGACCCCCCCCCCTCCACGCCCCCCCCTTCTGCCCCATGTCGAAACGCCGAATAAGAAAACGTACACGTTTCGTTGGGCTCCCCTGAGGGCCGTGCATGCCCACATCCCTGGGCCTCCCAGATGGGGTCCGAGCGGGTGGGGCCGAAGGATCTCGCCGCATCGCCGGTGCGCCAGCGAGGCGGGCGGAGGGAGGCAGAATTTGCCTCCACGCCGATTCCCCCTTCCGCCCCATGCCGACACGCCGAACAAGAAAACTCAGGAGGGGGAAAAAACACACAGACACAATTAATCGTCGATTCCCCCCGAAAATATGGGAAAGTGTGTAGAGTGTGGGGGGAGAGACAAAAACCTAGAAAATGTTGGAAAAGATGGGGAATGCTTTCCTTTGTGTGTATTTGTTAGTGTGTGCCCTGGGGCCCCTTCGACAACCTTGGCCATAAGTGGTCGACGCTCCGCGCGGCGCGCTCGGGAGTCGGCCCCGGGGCGCCCCCGGGCGGCGCCTCTCCATGCGCCGCCCCGGCGCGCGCCCGGGCAGGGGGGGGGCCCGTGCGCCAACCCAAGAAGGCCGCAGGAGCCTCGGAGTTTGTTTTTCTTTTCGCTGCTGCAGAAATTCCAGAGTCCTCCTCCTCCTCCTCCTCCTCCTCCTCCTCTCCTCCTCCTCCTCCTCCCTCCTCCTCCTCCTCCTCCTCCTCCTCCTCCTCTTCCTCCTCCTCCTCCTCCTCCCCCTCCTCCTCCTCCTCCTCCTCCTCTTTCTGCTCCTCCTCCTCCTTCTCCTCCTCTTCGTCTTCTCCTGTGAGGCCCTCCTCCCCTGGGGGGTCACAGCTCTTGCCCCCCCTGCGTGATCGCTCCGTTGCTGAACCAAAGCTCGCTTCCGCGAGTTCATCGCCTTTTGTCGGTCCGTGCGGTTTTTGGGATCCGCGCAGGGACCCACCCCCCGGCGGCGCCTCCTGCGCCGCCCCTGGCGCGCTCTGCGCGCCAGGGAAGGGGGGTCCAGCGCAGATCCAATACGTGCGGAGCGTCAAAAGGTTGTGTGTAGGCAGTTGTTGTTCTTCTTTTACTATTGGAGCCATTTGGCCCTCGCGCCCCCCAACATCAGCACTCGCGATGATGCAGAGTCGGCTGCCACAGCTTCGAGCAGACGCCTGCCGATAGGCGCTTGTCTGGCCACAAATCCTGTCGATCCCCAGGGAGCGTCTACTTACCTTGCTCCTCTTCCTCCCCTCCCCGGGCTTCCGCTTCGTCATCCTTGGTCGCATCTTCCTCTTCCTCCTCCTCCTCTCCTTCCTTAGTCGCTGTCAGCTTCAAGCCCGAGGGTGCCGGCTCAGGGACGCTGCCAGTCGGACTGAGCTGAGGGCAATCGTGTACGTGATGGCTTTGCGCGATCGTCCCCTTCCTCGTGCCCCTCCTGCCTCTCCCAAGCTATTTGCGCTGAAAAAAAACATTAAACAACACCTTCCCGACAGAGCAGCAGGGACCCTCCGCCGCAGGCAGTTCGAGGCCCTGCCGCAGGTGGGCCACGGCGAGGGCATCGACGCCGCAACCCTGCGGGACGTGCTGCAGGCGGAGCCCCCGAGGGCACGCTGCGGGAACGGCGGTGGGCGTGGCTGGTCCGCCTCAGCACAGAGGGTCGATGCTCTTTTGGGGGGACCTTCCTGGGGCCCACCCAGCGGATCTGTTCGACTCAGGTTCGACTGAAATTCGACTCAGATTCGACTCGGGTTCGACTCAGGTTCGACGCATGTTCGGCTCAGGTTCGACTCAGGTTCGACGCAGCCTCGACGCAGCCTCGACGCACGAGTGGAGCGAGTGGCTCCAGGAAGGTCCCCAGAATGAGCATCTAACAGAGGCGATGTAATTCGCGGGTCGTTGTTGAGACAGGAGGGGGGCGGGTGGGCGGGTCTGTTGGGGCCTCATGCACAGCCACGTGTGGCCAGTCAGCCCAGGGGAGTGGGAGGGGGGAAGTCAGGAGGAGACGGGAGGAGAGCACAAAGTCGACCCGCATGGCAAGGATGGGCAGCCTCCCCAAGGGTACCCTGGCATCCGTGCTTCCGTGCTTCCTCGCTCCGTCCTTGGCCGCTTCGTTGGCCGCGCCCCGCTCGCAAAGCTTTGCAATGGGCTTCCAGGGCCCTCGCACCCTCACCACGCACCCTTTACTATACGGGATTGTACGAATTCCACGGCGGGCCCTTACAGTGGAGACCCATGCCAAGAACCACCCTGCTTGCCTTCAAGGTGCCCTGGGCTTCTTGGGTTTTGCTGGTTTGCCGATGGACAGCGTGACGTTTTCCCGCACCAAAAATCAATGGACGCCTTGGGGTCTCAGAGTTGGGATTCTTGTGGAAGGTTTCTTGTGGACTGGCCTCCACTGTACACTGCCACCCTTGTCCCACAGGATCCCGCTTGCCAGCGGGGGCCATGCCGTCGCGCGACTGTCGTTGCGAAACCCTGCTCCTGTTCCCCGCACCGTTCGTCACGTGCACGTTCCTCTCCCTCAATTCCTGCATGCTGGCATGGAGTCGGGCACGTCCCTCTACAGGAAGACTATCCAAGAATGGTCAACAATAGTCAGGTGGCGATTGCTCGTGCTCTTCGGGTACTGGTTGACTAGTCTTTACTTTTCTTCCAAAATCCGCCTGTAGGGAGACATGCCTGATCTAATGCTAGCATCTCTTACCTCCGCAGGATTTGTTTGGGCGTTTTCAAAGTCGATTCGCCTGCACCCCGAGATTTGACACTCGTAATTGGCGTCGTTCTAACAAGTTGAAGTGCACAGTATAATTCTTCGGACCTTGTCTGCAGCATCGGGCTTGACGACGCACGATCAATGACATTCTTGGGAAGTGAGCTGCGTTTGCGCTCAGCAGTGGCTTCAGTAAGGGAGCGATGTCTGCTCACGGCATGCGGGATGTATTGCGAAGGCTCTACGGCTGGTGCCGCCGACGCACCCCCCCCCCGCCCCACCCCCCGAGGACCCCCCCCTTGCAGGGAAGGCAGAAAGGGAAGGGAATCGTCTTGATTACGACGTTCCCCCTCCGTGTTCCTCCATTTTTCTTGGATTGACGACGACGAGGATGAGGAGGACGACGACGACGACAGCGTCTTCCGCACGCCGAAGGGTCGGCGGATTTTACCGCGCGGAGGAAAATGATGGGCACACAAGAACTGCATACACGCCGGTCGTTGAAAGTGGGTATTTTGGGATCCCCAGATCCCAATCTGCTTCAAGCGCCTTCCTACCTCAAGAGTCGGCACGCTCTTGCTGTGTTTTGTTGTTCCCTGGGGGGACCTGGACCCAATCCACTTAATCCGCCTTCCTACTTCATGTTTCTCCCTACTTCTTCCGACCGACGTGTGTGTGTGTGTGTGTGTGTGTGTGTGTGTGTGTGTGTGTGTGTGTGTGTGTGTGTGTGTGTGTGTGTGTGTGTGTGTGTGTGTGTGTGTGTGTGTGTGTGTGTGTGTGTGTGTGTGTGTGTGTGTGTGTGTGTGTGTGTGTGTGTGTGTGTGTGTGTGTGTGCAGCCGGCAGTCGCGGCGCTATTCGCGCTTCGCGGTTCGGCTCCGATATCTCCTCATCTTCCTCTTCTCCCCTGGGAGGCGGCGCGAGAGCACGAAGTGATTCGCGCTTGGCGCTGCGTGCAGCGCGAAGCGCGAAGTCGGGAGCCCTTGAGGAACTGTACATGGGTTCCCCGCCACAGGTGTACACGCCACTGTGGTGCCAGACTCGGGGGCGTTACGTCATGCCCCCCTCCTCTTCCTCCTCCTCTTCCTCCTCCTCCTCCTCCTCCTCCTCCTCCTCCAGCCATGACGTAACGCCCCCGCCATGGGTTCCTCTTCTGCAGCCGGCAATCGCGGGATGCCCCGCCGCAGGTGTACACGCCTGCGCGTGCCGATTATGCGCACGAGCTGTTCCTGCTGCTGGACAGGCGCGGCCCCCCCCTCCCCAGGGTCGGCTCCTCGGGCGGAAGGGAAGAGGGGAGGGAGGAGGAGGAGGAGGAGGAGGAGGAGGAGGAGGAGGAGGAGGAGGAGAGGAGGAGGAGAGGAGGAGGAGAAGGAGGAGGAGGAGGAAGAGGAGGAGGAGGAGGAGGAGGAGAGGAGGAGAAGGAGGAGGAGGGGAAGGAGGAGGATGAGGGGAAGGAGGAGGAGGAGGAGGAGGAGGAGGAGGGGAAGAGGGGAAGAGGGGAAGGAGGAAGGAGGAGGAGGAGGAGGAGGAGGAGGAGAGGTTGCAGGTGGAAGAGGAAGAGGAAGAGGAACCCCCTTCCTCATTCGGACGTGCATCCTCTCCCGATGCACAGCTGATCCAACCCGTCGTTTGGCGGCCTGTGGCAGAACATGACTTGGTTCAGGACGGGAAAAACACACAGACATAATCAACCCTCGATCCCCAGGGAAATATCGGAAAATATGGGAAGTGGGGGGAAGACGAAAACCCAGAGTATAATCAAGTGGCGCGTGTGTGCCGAGGCTCATACAAAAAACTGAAGGAGCATTTGAAGCATGAGTGACATGCAACAGCGAAGTCGCACTCGAGCGCAAGTGGGGTTGCCACACCTTGCGATGTGTGTACCAGGGCCCCCCAGGAAGCCTCAGGAGGCCCGACTTGGATACCAGAAGAGGCTCCAGGAGGCCCCAGGATTGTGAGTGTTGTGTGTGTGCGTGAAATGTGTGCTCTGTGTTGTGCGTGCTTTTTGTACGTTGTAGGTGTTGTGTGTGTGTGTGTTATGATTGTCTAGCGTGTGATGTGTTGGGCGTGATTTGTGTCTCTGTGTGTGCATGTAGTTCTGAGGCCCCAGGAGGCCCCAGGAGGCCCCAGGCGGCCCCAGGAGGCCCTAGGAGACACCAGGAGGCTTCAGGAGGCCCCAAGAGGCTCCAGGAGGCCGCAGGAAGTTTCAGGAGGCCCCAGGAGGTTTCAGGAGACCCTCAGGAGGCTCCAAGGCGGGGTCTGGGGTACCAGAAGGTTCAAAAAGCCCCAGGAGCCCCCAGGAGGTTCCAGGAGGCCCCCAGGAGGCTCCGAGGCGGGGTCTGGGGTACCAGAGGGTATGTCGGGGCTCGATGTTGGGAGGATGTTTCAGGCGAAGCCGCCAGTCTCTGAGAATCGGGGTCGACATTATTGAAATTAACATGTGTGTTTGAAGGTTTTATGTTAAAATGTTGAAATTCCCATGTGTTGTTGGACCCTGACGTCACGATCTGCGTGAGGGGTGCCACCGATGTTCGGAATTCCGAGGATGTCCCTATCGAAACGGCCAGAAAAAAAACGCGGACGCGGCGCCCCGCGTACGCATTAATCGCTTATGAGCTCTACTCCCTCGGAGAGGTGCGTATGAGAATCTATGTATACATATATATATATATATATATGTGTGGGGGGGAATCTTCGGATTTGTGTATATTTAATTATGTGTCCTTGGGTCCCTTCATTGGTGACAGTCGCTCCAGTATGATTGAAATCGCAGTGGTGGCCCAAGCAGGCTTCTCGCTGCAGTCGTGACGCATCGATGCAGCATTGCGGTTGCCAGAATAGAGGCAGAAACAAAACACATAAACATAAACTTGTGGCGCTTCGCGCAGATCTCTTTGATCCGCGCCTAGCGCGGATCCAAGAAATCCGCGCGGATCGCCCAAAGTGTATATTCATGTGTTTTTTTCTTCGTCTACACAAGGTTGCGCGTTCCCAGGGAGGGGATGGGGGGGTCTGTTGGGCCGCGCCCACTGGGTGAGGTGAAGCTCGCGAATTGCTGCCGCCTACTTCAACACCGCCTGGCTTCTTCTCCAGATACCTAAGTCGTTCTCAACGTTTTCTGGGAACATGGAGGCGTGGAAGCAGAGTGGCGCGGAAGCACCCTTGCGTGCGAGAGTGCAAACGCGACTGCATGGAAGCGTGCAACTTGGGAAGCCGTGAAAGCACGTGAAGGCGTGCGGACGTGGAAGCATGAAGTCACGGAGGCCTGGAGGCATGCAAACATGGAAGCGTAGATTCATGCAGGCGTGGAAGCACGTAGCTGTGCAATGCGCGCGGAGCCTGCATTCAAGCCAGCATGCACATAGACGAACGTGGAAGCATGAAAGCATTCTTATAAAGCTGCAAGCAGGTGACAAGGTATCTGGAGGAGAAGGCTGACGGCTGTGAATCAGCATTCGCAGTCGCACGCTCGCCAGTCAACCACTATCCCAGTATTACATTTGATCTCTCAGCGCGTTCCGCAGGCTTTTCTCGTAGGCGTTTCCTACTTCAGGGCGTGTGAGCACGCCTAACTGGTCAGCGCTGCCCAGCGGCGTGTTCAGCGCCCGGCACGGCCCAGGCAGCCCCTCGCACGCGAGCTCAAGCGCGGGCCAGAGGCATGCTTCACGAGTGTCGTGCGATGTGGCCGCGAGGCAGCGAGCGCGAACTTGACAGGAGAGCGGCTCGCGGCACGCACGTGCGGACAGTGAGATCCCACCACCGGGTCGAAGAGGCCGCTTGCCGAGCTGCCCCGCGGTGGAGGTCCCCGCTCTGTGCTGTCCTGCCGCTCCGCCTGGGTTGTGCTCCCCGTCCCCCCTTGCAGCCGGTTGCTCCTCTCGCTTCTCGAAGTCTTGCGTTTGCGCCCTTAGATTCCGTCGCGTCCCGCCTTTTCCCCACCGGCCATTTGTGAGCGCTCCTGGCGCCGGCCATCGGCAAGGTGCACTCTGGTTGAATGGATGCAAGCAGGCCGACGTTGCCAGGCTAGGAATCGGCGTATTGATTCCTTGCGTGAGAGGGGGACTTGGATCATGCGCTTGACCGACGATGGTGGGGAGTAACGTCGGGGCCCTGAAGAAGGAACCCTTTTGGTTGGGAAGGGGCTCTGCGTTCCTTAAGTGTTTCGCAGCTTGCCGCAGGTTTTCCTTATGTTTTCGAGAGGAAATCGAAGTTTAACTTATGGAAAAAAGGGGGCCTCGTTCCTTATTTAGGGTTCCTTAGGTCAACGCCTCGACTGTATGGGAACAGGAGAGGGGTGGGGGTCAACAGCCCTGGACCCTCTAACCCACGTGCAGGGTTCCGAGGTGGCACTGCATGGAGCTGGCTCGTATAGCGCCCTGCTCGCTGCTCTTTGCACCCTCCTCCCTGCCCCGCTTCCCCCCCCCCCGTCCCCCTCGCTGTTCGCAGGCCCGGTGTGGGCCCCGGAAACGGCAGGGCCGTTTTTTCACCGTTTCCAAAACAGTGCCCCTTAAAGATGGGAACGGCAAAAAAACGGCGACCAATAACGGCAAGAAAACGGCTTCAGGATTGGAACCGGAGCCGGCACCGGTCAAAAAACGGCGACGGAACCGGTAAAGAAACGGCGTCGGAACCGGCAACAAAAACGGCAAGACGGAACTGGTAGAACAACGGCCTTGTCGTTGCCAGGGCCCGCCCTCTCGGGTCCTCGCGCAGCCTTGCGGCTTCAGCATGTCATGGACCCCATGCGGAGTGCACAACAGTCAGAGCGTGAATAACCTCCCCCGCTTTCGTTTCCAGACAAAACCAAGCCATACCACGCGCCTCCTTGTCAGGCGGCCTGACCAGTACAGGCTGCAGTTTGGCATCGCTTGGTATCTCCTGGAAGCGAGGGTGGTCAAAAGTGAGGTAGGTTTGTTTTCCCCCTAAGGTTGCCGTGCACGCGGCCTCAGTTCGACCACGCTCTCGCCTCCAGCGCTCTCCCCCGCGCGGGTTTTCGCTGTACTCGCACGGGGTCCCGGCCGCCACGGATAACGAAAAAACGGCCGCTGGTTAGTGCCCCGCGCTCGCGCTCGGGTGGAGGGGGGCCCAGGAGAGGCCCCGCGGGATTTTGCACGGCGGCTGCAACGGGTGTGGTTACGCCGGGGTGTGGTTTGCGATCGGCACCGTCGGGGCCTGGGGGGCACGACGCTGTCCTCGTCGGGCTTCCTCGGGGCGCGGCGGAGAGCTCCGTCGAGGTCCTCGCCCGCCCCCCCCAGGGAGCCCCTCAGGGTGCCGGTTGCAAACCGCACCCTTTGCAAACCACACCCTTCGGAGTCGCCGAATTTTGCACAGCGGCTGCGCGTGTAGCCGTTGTTTAGTCGCCTCTTGTTGGTCAGGTTGCTTGTCCGTTTGCTACTTCACATGGTGTTTCGCAGCAAAAAAGGCCACGCGACCGCAGCAAGAGCAGGCGAACGCGCGTGTAACTGCATCCTGCTCTCCCCTTTTCGTCCCAGGGACGCCAGTGACAGCCTCGACTTCTTCGAGCTGATGGCGGGCATCCTCGTGCTCTCCAGGTTGGGCTTTGCGCACAGCACGGGCCGAGCGGCGGGTCTCTTCTGGGCAGCGGAGTCCTTTGGAATTGGGGGGGGAGGGGAGCGAGTCCCGGGGAGGAGGAGGAGGAGGAGGAGGAGGAGGAGGAGGAGGAGGAGGAGGAGGGCGGCAGCAGTCCTCATCCGCGCTGTTCTTCTCGTCCTGCCCCTCGGTCGCCCCCCACGCCCTCGTCGGCACCCCTCTTCCCCTCCTCTCAGATGCTCGTTTTGGGGACCTTCGACTCTACTTCGACCCCACTTCGACTCGATGTCGACTCAGGTCCGACTCAAGTTCGATCCAGGTTCGACGCAGGCTCGGCCCATGGTCGACCCAAGGTCGGCTCAACTCGACGGACCTTCGACGCGGCTTCGACGCACGAGTGGAGCGAGTGTCTCCAGGAGTACCAGCCTGGAACATATCCCTGTCCCTATGCTGGGCACCTCCCCATCACGATGCCAATCTCAGGGATTCCCTTATTCTTTGAGGGCAAATCCCTAAGATTGTCATCGCCTCTTGGCGTGTCGATCTTAGGGATAGGGACACGTTCGAGGCTGGTAAAGAGTGGGGGGTCTCGTTTCACCCTGCGCTGCGGGAGCAGAAGCTGCGAAATTTAATGCATTCCCACCCGGGGCTCTCCAGGCAAAGGCCCGCCTGTCTGCCAGCAGCTCGCCTTCCCCTCCAGGGGGCGAGTTTGTGCCCCATCGGGGCGTGCACTTGACTCGACTCGAATGATGAGGTCAATGCGGATATGCCGATAAGGTACACAGTTAGATGTTAGTTAGGGATAGGGATACGTTCGAGGCTGGTAACAGGAAGGTCCCCAGACGGAGCATCCAGCTGCTCCTTCTCTCCTGCCTCCGGACCCCCCTGCCCCCTCTGAGGCCGCGCTCCTGCCCCTGGGCGCTCCTGCCCCGTGCTCCTTCCCTACAGGCGCACACGAGGCATCTTGGCATCGCTCGGACGTGTGCATTTCTTCCTTCGGCGAGGACCATCGAGGAGCATCCTTGATCCTTTGGCGAAAAAACCACGCACGAAGCCGAAAAAAACACAGGAAATGGACGTCCGAGCGATGGCCAGCTCTCTCTCTCTCTCTCTATCTCTCTCCGGAACCCAGCCAGACAGTGGCATGTTCTCTCCGCGTGCTGGTGTTGGAACACCGGGTTCCAAGAGTCGCTCCTGGTCTTGCGGTTGTCTATACTCCGAGGGTTTTCGGGGCTTCAGAGTGGTAGTTCCGCTGCAGCGTGGGTCTCGTTTTCGGATCGGCGCTGTGACCCCGTCGTTCAAGATGGCGCCCTCGCCCCAGCGAGGGCCACGTTCCCGGATCCGGGCCCCATTTTTCATCGTTGTCGCCCTCCTCATTCCCCCTCCTCCGCCTTCCCTGGTACTCCTGCTCCTCCCGCACCTTCCACTCCAGCGTTTGCTGCTGCGGCTGCTCGTCCTCGTCCTCCGCATTCCTCATCCTCCTCCTGTTCCTCCTGCTCCTCTTTGTGCTCCTCCGCCACCTCCTCCAAAATACGCAGCTCCCTCTCGTCCTTCCTCCCTCACCCTCTCCCTCCCTTCTCTCCCTCTCATTCGCCCCCCTCCCCCGCTCCCTTCCTTCCTCTCCCCTTGCCTTCCCCCAGCCTCCCTCCCTGCCCTCCCGCCCTCCCTCCATGAACCTCCTCCGTCCCCTCCTTCCCTCGTCTGTTCATCCTTCCCTCGCACCTCGCCCCCTCCGTCGTGCTCCTCCTCCTCCTCCTCCTCCTCCTCCTCCTCCTCGTGCTGCTCCTCCTCCTCCTCCTCCTCCTTCTCCTCCTCCTCCTCCTCCTCCTCCTCCTCCTCGTGCTCTCCTCCTCCTCCTCCTCCTCCTCCTCCTCCTCCTCCTCCTCCTCCTCCTCCTCCTCCTCCTCCTCCTCCCCCTCCTCGTGCTGCCCCTCGCCTTCCTGCTCCCCTTCCTCCGACCCTCCTCTGCTCACGCGCGCCGCCCGGCCCTCGAGCCGCCGGCGTGCCCCCAGGGACCGCGAGCCCGCGGGCAGGGCGAGGAGGAGCAGGGCGCGAGGAGGAGGGCGAGGAGGGCGAGGAGGACGAGGAGGACGAGGAGGACGAGGAGGACGAGGAGGGCGAGGAGGAGGGCGAGGAGGGCGAGGAGGAGGACGAGGAGGGCAAGGCGAGGAGGGCGAGGAGGGCGAGGAGGGCGAGGAGCAGGACGAGGAGGACGAGGAGGACGAGGCCCGCGACTCCAGAAGCGCTCCGCTGCGCCCTCCGGGGAGCAACAAGTGGCATACACATTAAAACTCGGAGGTCCGCGCGGATGTCTCGGATCGGCGCCGGGGCCCCCCTTGGCGGCGCCTCCGGCGCCGCCCCTGGCGCGCCTCCGCGCGCCAGGGAGGGGGGTGTCCAGCGCCGATCCGAGACATCCGCGCGGACCTCCGAGTTTTTACGTTTATGCCACGTGTTGCTCCCCGAAGGGCGCAGCGGAGCGCTGCTGGAGTCGCGAGCCTCCTCTTCGCGCCCTGCTCCTCCTCGTCCTCCTCCCTCCTCGTCCTCCTCGTCCTGCTCCTCGTCCTCCTCGTCCTCCTCGTCCTCCTCGCCCTCCTGCGTCGGCCCACAATCCTATTGCGGCGTCGCTCCGCGCGAGCGGGCCTCCGCTCGCTCGCGGGGGCCGCCGTGCATGTTGCGCACTCGCTCGACAGCTGGCCACCGGCCCGTGCAGGGCGTTGGGACACACAAGCTTCGGGAGGAGAGGGAACAGACCGACGCAAGGAATCGCCGCTTCCCCAGAAAATATGGGAAAATATGGGAGGTGGGGGGGGGGGAAGACAAAGACCAAGAACATGCATGTGGGAAAATTATGGGGAATCCTGTTAGTCGTGTGTGTTTCTTTGTGTGCCCCAGGGCCCCTTCAAAGTTGCCGTGTTCGGCGCCGAATGGTGTGCGGGATTGGCGCTGGAGGAGAAAGGGAGGGGAAGGAGGGGTAGGGCAGGTCGTGGGTCGGAAGGGGAGGAGGCCGCTTTTTTCTCCCAGCCGATGGCGGCCGATTGCCCGGGGTGAGGATGGGGCGTCGTAATGTCCTGATTCGCGCCCACGTGGGATGGAAGCAGGGGCCCAGTAGCGTCCCGGCTGGGGGTGGCCTGGCACGACGCCGACGAGGACGAGGACTACGACGACGACGACGACGACGACGACGACGTGGACGACGATGACGACGATGACGACGACGACGACGACGGTGACGACGACGTGGACGACGACGACGACGACGACGACGACGCACACGACGAGGACGACGACGGACGACGGACGACGACGGACGACGAACACAACGACGACGACGACGACCACGACCACGACCACGACCACGACCACGACCACGACCACGACCACGACCACGACAACAACGACGACGACGATCACGACGACAACGACGACGACGACGACGACGACGACGACGACGACGACGACGACGACCGACGTCGTCCAGAGGCTTCGGGAGGCCTCCAGGCAGTTTGTAGCACTTTGGCACTGGGGCGGTGTGGTCCACACCATGTGCTGCAGCAGCATCTCTGGTGTACACAGGCGCTGTGGTACACGGGCATCGTGGTGAACACAGGCGCACTGATGCACACGGGTACTGCGGTGTACACAGTCTCTGTTGCGAACACACTGGCTGGTGCGCACGCATGTTGTACAGCAGCACCAGTGGTGTACACAGGCATGGTGATGTACACAATCATCGTGTTGCACGCAGGCATTATTGCTCACGCAGGCCTTGTGGCGTACACGTTCGCCATGGTGTACACAGGCGTTGTGGTACACGCAGATGTTGTTGCTGCGGCATGATTTGGTGCACAGAAGCGCTATCGTGTACACAGGCGCAGAGGTGCACATAGGCTGTGTGGTATGCACAGGCAGTGTGAGCCCCGGCATCGAGGGGGGCGTGCACTGTAGCAGAAAAGTCACAAATCACAAACAGTTGAATCACATTGAATTTGAGACATTCGGGTTCCCTACGATGTTCTGGAACGTGGCCCCGTCGGGACCCTGATGGTGTACACAGGCTTTGCGGACAGGCATTGTGATGCACAAGCTACGTATGTGGTACACACATATCTTGCCGAAGCAACAGTGTGGTGCACACGGGCGATGTGATGTACACAGGCAGCGTGGTGCACAACGGCGTTGTGGTTTACACGGCAGCTGTGGTGTACGTATGATGTTGTTGCAACATCAGTTCGATACACAAGGGCTTTCTGATGTACGCAGCCATTGTTGTGTCGACAGACGGTGTGGTGTACACAGGCGTTGTGGTGTACATTGGCAGCGTGGTGTAAACACGCGCTGTGGTGCACACAGGAATCGGTGTGCGCAAGCACTGTTCTGCTCACAGGCGCTGTTGAGTACACAGGCGCTGTGTTGTACACCAGCACTGTGGCCTACACAGGAATTTGGTGCACAGGGGCACCATGGTGTACAGATGCATTGTTGTTCACACCGGCGCACTGGTGCACGCAAGCATGTTCGCAGGCACCGTGGTGCACACATTCATCAGGAGGGTCTTCGAGCGGGTATCCTGCGGCGCGCACGGTCATTACGCTCGCCGGTCGCAACTGCTTTCAGCAAGCACATGTTGTGCCTGGCTATCCGTGTCAGATACCTACCTACCTGCGTGCAAATCCTAGCTGGCATCACTTGTTCCTCGGCGTTCACAGACGGCGCAGGCACGACACGTGACGTTACGGAGGGGGGGGGGGGCGGTAACGGCCGCTATGCGGGGACAAAGTGTTGTTTGCGACGTACCATTCAGTTGGGCGTGTCCCTCTACAGGGGGAATATTCGAAAAGAATCAAAAATAATACAGGGGACGATTGTTTGATCATTTTTGATGTTTTGAATGTGTGTTGACTATTTCGAATTTTCCGTCCACAATCCACCTGTAGGGGGGGCATGCCCGACCTAAACGTACCCAACGAAATCGTATCAAGTGGCCAGAGCAGTTGGCACACATGTATATAGATAGTGACGGTGCAGGAGCCGTCATGCGTTGTACAAGCTACGTGGGATGTGCGCGCGCGTTGCACGATTCACAGGACAGTATTTCAAGGGAGGAACAACCACTCATACTGGACAATTGGCGCTTACTAGACGGCCCTGGGCGTTTCCTAGACAGCCCTGCCCTGTTCAATTCCTTCAGTGGAGGCGTTACGTAAACGGCTTCGCGCGTCGGGGTGGCTATTATGGGGGTGGAGTTTCTGCCTTCTAGTAATATATCGACGAGATGTGAGGCCCCAAGCTCGAAGAGGAAGGGGGCGGGAACGAGGGGCACGGGCGACGGCGATGCGGATGCCACTCCGCTGGACCTCCCAGGAGAGCGAAAGCGGCGACAGTCTCGCAGCTCGCAGCATCAGCGACGGAGAGGTCTCATCTGATCTCGGAGAGGCGTCGCCCCGCGGGAACTCCCAGGAGCCCATGAAAATGGCGACAGCTTCGCAACTCGCAGCACCCAGCGACGACGAGGTCCTAATCTGATCTTCAGGATTACTCCGCTGGACGCCGCAGGAGCCTATCAACGTGGCGAAAGTTTCGCAATTCGCAGCCCCCAAAAGATGGTGAGGTCCAGCCTGAATCTGCGTAGGGCACCACTCCGCTGGACTCCCAAGCAGCCATTGAACGTAGCGAAAGCCTCGCAGTTCGAAGCCCAACAGGGATGGCGAGGTATAATCCAGATTTGCGCTGGGTATCCACCTACGCTGGTCCCTCAGCAGCCCTCGAATGTGGCGACAGTTTCTCTGTCCGCCGGTCCCCCATGGGATGGCGAGGTCTGATCTGAATCTGCGCTCGGTACCCACTGCGCTGGCCCCCCCAGCAGCCCAGAAAAGTAGCGACAGGTTTGCAGTTCGCAACACCCTGGGGATGGCGAGGTCTACTTTGAATCTGCGCTCCTCGGTAACCACTGCGCTGCCCCCCCCCCCCCCCAGCAGCCCTCGAAGCTGTTGTCAGTTTCACAAGGCGCGGCCCCCCAGGCATGGCGAGGTCTATTCTGAATCTGCGCTCGGTACCCAGTACGCACGTGGCCACAGTGTCTCACTTCGCAGCTCCCCCAGGGATGGCGAGGTCTAACCTGAATCTGCGCTCAGTACCCTCAAACGTTGCGACTGTTTCGCAATTCCAGCCCCCCAGAACAGAAGTAGGATACATGTAGGAAGTAGGAGGCAGGAGAGGAGAGGAGGAAGGAGGCGGGAGGAGAAGGAGGTGGAAACAAGACCCCAACCGGAGGGTTGGGGGAAACACGGGCTCGAGGAAGGACGAAGGGATGGACGGAGGATGGTCGCTTTGAGGGACCGGCGTGCTGGCAGCACTCGTCCCTCCCTCGCGCCCCCTTGGCGAGGTGGAACTCCTGGGAGGTCAAATTCTGATTTTGCCCTGGTCCGAAATCCGGCTTAATCCCGCTTAATCCCGCTTAATCCCGCTTAATCCCGCTTGATCCGAGGCCCACTCTGGCGCAACAGCTCCCAAATGGGGCTTAAATCTTCCTTATTCTTTCCGACGACAACCTCCCAGCAGTTGCCTCCTGACCCTTGGCGAGGTGCCCGACGGCCAGGAAGTTGGACCTCTTGTTTCACCTGTACGACACGGACGGCTCCGGAGCGCTGGAGGTCGACGAGTTGCAGTGCCTCGCGGCGACTCTTGCGAGGCACCCCCGCCGAGCGGAGCGCATCGGGCCACGAGCCCGCTTGCCATCCTTGCCCTCCTCCTCCTCCTCCTCCTCCTCCTCCTCCTCCTCCTCCTCCTCCTCCTCCTCCTCCTCCCTCTCCCCCCTCCCTCCTCCCTCCTCCCTCCTCCCTCCTCCCTGCTCCTCCTTCTCCTCCTCCTCCTCCTCCCTCCTCCTCCTCCTCTTCCTCCTCCTCCTCCTCCTCCTCCTCCTCATTCTCCTTCTCCTCCTCCTCCTCCTCCTTCTCCTCCTCCTCCTCCTCCTACAGGGGAACGAATCATGACGCAAAGATAAAAACTCGGAGGTCCGCGCGCATTTCTCGGGTCCAAGCTGGGCCCCCCTGGCGGCGCCTCCGGCGCCGCCCCTGGCGCGCCTCTGCCCGCCAGGGAGGGGGGGTCCAGCGCAGGTCCAAGAGATCCGCGCGGAGCGCCAAAAGTGTATGTTGATAGCGTTTTTCTTTTTCTTCTACTGCCAGCCTGAGAGTTATGATGTTCCAACCTACTGCAGCTTTGACCACCAGAAATAATTTCGAGCACCAGAACAGTACCCATAAACTCTAGGGTTTTTACGTGTCGGGCCCTGGGGGGCCCTCGGCCGACACTGTTTCGAGTTTCCTTCGACACTTTTTTCCGGGTGCTCGAAATTGTTTCTGGGACGTGGCCTTGAAGTACGATGCGGGCATCATAACCTAAGAGCTCGGGCCGGACGGTGGAGGGGGGATGCAACTCCTGGGAGGTCAATTTCTGTTTTTGCCCTGGTCTTATGGTGTTCCCATCGTACTTAAGGACCACACCCCAGAAATAATTTAGAGCACCAGGAAAGGTGTCGAAAGAGAGTCGAAACAGTGTGTCGGGCGAGTGTTTCCCAGGGCCCGACGCGTGAAAACCCTCGAGTTTCGGTACTTTTCTGGTGCTCGAAATTATTTCTGGTGGTGGTCAAGGCTAAAGTAGGTTGGAACATCATAACTCTGGTCCGAAATCCGGCTTAATCCGGCTTGATCCCGCTTCATGCGGCTCAATCCTTCTTAATCCGGCTTAATCCTGCTTAATCCGAGGCCCTTTCCGGCGTAACAGCTCCCGAATGACCTCCCAGTACCCTGACCTTCCAGGAGGGCTAAAAAAAATAGCACCCGACGCAAAAACCTACCCCAAAGATATTCTACGTCCTGGTCTTAGGCTGTCTTGCAGTTTTTTTTTGTTTAGGCCTCCAGTGCTAAACAATAGCTCTCTGGAAGGTCAGGGCAGTTGCCTCCTAAGGGGGGGGGGGATAGGGGAGAGGTGGGTTTCGAAGGCTGTTGCCTGCAAGCGGTCTCGGCCCCGGGGCCCGGTGCTCTCCTCGATGCACCGGCGCCTCCGGCGCCGGGGGGTGGGGCGCCGGAGAAGGTTCGACGACCCCCCTCTGCGAAGTACTCCCCTCCCTCTGCGTCTGCGAGGAGGGACAAGACACACAGACACAATTCATCGTCGATTCCCCAGGAGATATGGGAAAATATGGGAAGTTGGGGGGAAGACAAGAGCACAGAAGATAGGTGAAGATATGGGGGATCCTGTTATCTTGTGTGTATTTATTTGCGTGTCCCAGGGCCCCTTCAGTCCGCCCCGAAGAGTCCTCGCTCATCCTGCCCATACTGTGGATCGGTGTGGTCGGCCAAGCGCGAGGCCCTGCATCTCAGCTCGGTCGTTGCAGGCCAGTCCAACACAGAGTCGAGGCTCCGCTGTAGTCTTGATGTCCACGCCACCCTTCTCATCGCCCTCGTCTCCTCTCTGCTTGCCTTCTCCTTCTCTCCTCTTCCTGGTCCCCCTTCTTCTCGTCCTCATGTTCTGTGTGATTTCTTGGGTGGTTTGGGACTTGAGTGCACGACTGGTGTCTCAGCGCCCCCCTGTCGTCGGCGACAGGGCCTGTTCCTGGGCTCATCGGAACGCGATTGCGCGGGTGTGGTATGACTTTCGCAGACCGGGCCATTTCCAATTTCCTTCCATCCCCTCGCCATCCCTCCTCGCTGATCAAAGCTTGAGGGTCGAGGATCGAGGTTTTGGACGTGTCTGTTCTCGGAGGGCCGAGGTCTGCAGTGATTTTTCAGCAGTCGTCACTCCGACCTGCACCGGCGACCTCTGGGGCTCTTCTTTCCCGCCCCGCCCTCCCCGCAGAAAGTGCCTCCCATCCTCACCTCATCGCCCCCCCCCCCCCCGAGTTCTGCCCCGCCCCCTCCCGCCCCTTCCGAACGTGTGAGGAGCATGGAAAAAGGGGTGTTTACTTCGGGGGTGGGCAGACCTCCTACCCTGACACGTCGATTTAAGGAATGGGCCGCCTTCGTTCCGCGAGAGGGCGTCGCGGCCGTCATGTTTGCGGGTCCAGGTCCGTCGGCTTCGGTCCCAGGCCGTTTGCACGAAGGGGAGGTCTACTAAAGGGAGGTTTGTCCACCGCCGACATCTAGAAACGATGCCCATGAGAGCTGACGGGGAGAGAGGAAGGGACACGCATAGTCAAACACCGAGGGAGGCCGGCCTGGACGGCGTGCTGGGGCCGCTTGCACGAAGGGGAGGTCTCCTAAAGGGAGGTTTTGCCCACCGCCGATTTACTGTGCGTGCAGCTGCTTTCGGCGTTGCCGCCCTGCGCGTCCCATGGGTGCACGGCCGCACCCGGCGCCCACGGGCAGACCCGCCGGCCGCGTGCCGCCCCGACCGGCTGCACCCTCCTTCCTGTTTTTGCTTTTTGCGAGACCCTCCTTCCTTTTGCTGGCTCGGTCGAGGGCTCCGTCCGAGCCGAGCCTCCCTGCCCTCCCCCCCCGGCTCCGCTGCGCCGGCACAGGGAGGACATGTGTCGGATTTCCTCCCCTCCCTCCGGTTCCTCCTCCTCTGCGGCCTCCACCCTCTCCAACTCCTCCTCGTCCTGCTTCCCCTGACCTTCCAGGAGGGCTCAGCGACCTAACAATCCATCCCAGAGCCATTCTACGTCCTGGTTTTAGTAGGCTGTTTCGTCTCGTTGTTTGGGTTTTTGGGCCTCCAGTGCTGAAAAAAATAGCTCTCTGGAAGGTCAGGGCCTCCTCCTCCCCCAGGGAACCCCTTCACCTCCCCCGTTCTTCGCTACGCCGGCACAGAAAGGATCTATCAGATCTCCTCCTCTTCCTCCGGTTCCTCCTTCTCTGCGGCCTCCACCCTCTCCAACTCCTCCTCATCCTGCTTCTCCCTCTCCCCCAGGGCACCCCTTCACCCCCCCGGGAGCCTATTTTCAAACGGACGTCCGTCCTTGGAAGCAGTGAGCCACAGTTCTGTATCACGACGAGGGAACACCGCGCCACGACCCTTTGGCGCATGTGGTGCACCTTTGAGAGGGGGCGCACTGTTGCGCACCCGTTGTGCACGTTTTTGCGCGCTCTGTGTTTTTGAGGGACGACTCCCATCACTTTCACTCCTAGGGCGGGAGAGCGGAGCGGGCGCAGGGCGGGGCGGCGGGCAGGATGCCACACGGCATGGGCCTCGATGCCCGCGCCGCGACAGAGTCACGCCAGAGGGCTGGTGGCAATCCTCGGCCGGGGGGCCTTTGCCGGGCGCCAGCACTGCCAACAGACTAAACGCTCAGGACGATGAACAAAAGGCGCTCCCAGAGAGGCGGTCGAGGCCTCAGGGGTTCCGCGCTGCGAACGGAATCGTACCAGCGGAGGTCTGGGCTCGGGATGAGACACGGACCGGAGGCGTAAGGGAAGGGGACAGGCTCCTGTTCACAGGAAGTGGTAACCAGGCAGACAGAGCCAGAAGCCGCAGGACTGGGGGAGAAGGCGGGGAGGAATTGGTGAGGCGGAGCAATTTTCAGGCGATCGCAAACCTGGATCAAGGGGGCGTGGATTAGCGACGGGTCTGGTTTTCATGGGCAATCGCAGATTTCTGTCGCAGGACGAGGCGGCACCAGCCGCATTTCGGGAAGGGCCCCTCCCCCGATCCATGGATCTGGCGACCGCGCGCCAAATCCATGGATTGCTAATCCATGTTTGCGCGCCCCCGAAATTCTTGACGCTTCGCGCATCCCCACCAGCGCACCTTCCTCACACTCCCGCTGTCCCTCGACGCCTTCGCACCGTTTTCTTCGTCTGAGCTCCGCTCCGTACTGGGCTTGTCCCTGCTTTTCCGCAGCTGGTGGCACAGCCTGCCCCTGCCAGCCCGGCGATCGACCCGTTTCGCGCGCCCGCGTACCAAAAAGTATCCCCACCAGCCCATTTTTGGGAGTGGACAGACCTCCTACCCTGACACGTCGATTTAAGGAATTGGCCGTTTTCGGTTCGCGAGAGGTCGTCGCGGCCGTCATTTTTGCGGGTCCAGGTCCGTCGGTTTCGGTCCCAGGCCGTTTGCACGAAGGGGAGGTTTACTAAAGGGAGGTTTGTCCACCGCCGACATCTAGAAACGATGCCCATGAGAGCTGACGGGGAGAGAGGAAGAGACACGCATAGTCAAACACCGAGGGAGGCCGGCCTGGACGGCGTGCTGGGGCCGTCTCCGGGCCCGGCGTGGTTTCTTTTGGCGGCCTCCTGCGGAGGCTCCGTGGCCATCTGGAGCGGTCCTGGGGCCTCTTGGAGCATCTTGGGGGCCATCTTGAGCCAGCTTGGGCTATCTTGAGCCATCTTTCGGCGGCGAGCGAGGGGCGGGAATGAGAAGGAGAAGGCCTTCTCAGAAGGCGGCGGGAATTCTAAGAGATCCTCGCAGCTTCTGAGAAGTGTTTTGTGTCTTCGTGGAAGGCTTAGAAAACTTCTCAGAGGGCAGGGGGACTTCCGAGCATCCTGAGGAGGCCCGCCCTTTCTCCTTTCCCCCCCTGGCGCGCCGCCTAATATTGGAAGTCATCTTGGGCTCTCTGAGGCCGCTCGGGGGCGTCTTGGGGGCCTCTCGGCGGCCTCTTGGAGCCCTTTTTGGGCCTCTTGGGGCGCTCGTGGGGCCCTTGGGGGCCTCTCGGGAGCCCTGGAGGGCTTCTTGGGGCCATCTTGAAGGCGGTCGGTCAAAAGAGGGCGGGTCCTCGATGATCGTCCCCCCCTCGGGGGCCACGATCCTCGTGAGGGGTGTCAAAAATTTGCCCTCCCACTGGCCGAAAAAAGGATCCTCTGACACATCGGTCCCCCTCCCAAGGACCTCAGGGAGGGGAGGGGGAGGGTCCCCCTCCCCGAAGGGAAGAGGGGCTGTGGAAGAGGAAAGAGACCCTCCTCAGACCTCTTGTCGCCCAGAGGGCTGGTGGGATTTGAGTGGGACAGTCAGGGGGGCATGGGGATGACGGGGGATCATGTCAGGAGGGGAAAAAGCACACAGACATAATGCATCGTCGATTCCCAGGAAGTTGTGGGAAAGTATGGGAAGTGGGGGGGGAAGACGACGACCCAGAACATGTGTGAACATGTGGGGGATCGTGGGATTTGCGTGTGTCTTTGTTTGCGTGTGTCCTTGGGCCCCTTGCCATGGGCAGAGCGAAGGAGGCGGATCTGGGGTCAGAGGCTGGGGCCGAGAGCGGCGAAAATGTGTGAAAACATGGGGCATCGTGGGATCTGTGTGTGTCTTTGTGTGTGTGTCTTTGTGTGTGTGTGTGCGTGTGTGTGTGTGTGTGTCCCTGGGCTCCTTTGCACCACGGGCGGAAACGAGGGAGGCGGAGCTCCGGGGGGCATAGAGGCCGGGGCCGAGCGCGGCGCAGCGAGGCCCCGCTGGCTCCCGCCTTCCTCTCTCTGCGTCGGGGGGGGGGGTCTGCCGGCCCGCACGCCCCCGCGCGAGGCTGGCGCTCCCGGCGGAGGGGCTGCGCGAGGCGGCCGGCGGGCCCGACGCCGCGGCCGCCGCGGCCGCCACCGCCACGCCACCGCCGCAGCAAGATCAAGCAGTGGCGAGGCGCCCTGGCTCACCTATGGCCCCACCGAACAATGTCCTAAGAACCTTTTGTGGTTCCCACGAAATGTTCTTAGAACATTTCTGGTTGGGACTGTCTTGCTTGATCACATCGGGTTTTTGTTCTAAGAACATTGTTTGTGTTATTAGAACATATTTGGGTTCTAAGAACATTTCGTGGTAGGACTATAGGAATGCCGGGACGGTCGGCCCCTGCTCAAGCCGCCTCTTCAAGAGGGTGGCAGCGATCGAAGCAGAGAAAACTCTATAAACATATAAACTTCTGGCGCTCCGCGCGGGTTCCTCGGATCCGCGCTGGGGCCTCCCAGCGGCGCCTTCTGGCGCCGCCCCTGGCGCGCTCCGCGGACCAGGGAGGGGGGGCATGGCGCGAATCCAAGAAGTCCGCGCGTAGCGCCAAAAGTGTATGTTTGTATGTTTGTTCTTCTTCTAAGCGAGAACCCATACCCGTATACCACCAAGATCTGCACTAGGAACCGTTTCGCCCAGGCTTACGCCAAAAAAGCTTCGTCACAAGCCCCCATGCCCTCCTACTCGCTGATGCAACACAATTGCAACAATGGTTGGGTATCGGTCACCCGCTTGAGCGCCATCCCCCCCCCCCCCCCCCCGATTCGTCGAGGTGGGCTCCAGGAAAGACCCTGTGGATGCGTGCTGTCGGGAGGGGAGCCCGCTCGCACGGGGACCCCCCTGAGTGTCCGATGGCCCGCGGCCAGATCCATGTCGCAGCCCCAGATCGCGAGGCGCGGGCCAGCTGCGCCCTATATATATATATATATATATGTTTACTATATATTATATATATGTATGTATAAAAATATATGTGTGTATGTATATACCTCTATATCTGTTTAGCTATACATATACATATATATATATATATATATATATATATATATCGCGAGGCTTTCCCCTCCCCTCCCTTCCCCCCCCCCCCCCCCCTCCCCCTCCATCTCCCCCTCCATCTCCCCTCCATCTCCCCCCTCCATCTCCCCCCCCCCCGTTCTTGGCCCCGGCCGCCGGCCTCGGCGCCCTCCCGACGCTCTGCCTGGGGTCAGTCTGGGTGTCATGTCGCGTCCTGCGCAGGCTCAAGCAGTGGCGAAGCGTCCTGGCTCGCCTATAGCCCTACCATTCTGTCGGGCCTGTCCCCCTACAGGGGGATTTTCGACGAAAAATTACAGATACCCCAAACATGGTCAAACAAATAATCCAAAAATAGTCTGGGGACTATTTTTGGAGTATTGTGTGACCTTTTTGAGGTATTTTGGGGGTATTTCGAATTTTTCGTGGTTTCCACGAAATGCTCTTAGGACATTTCTGGCGGAGTCTGTCTTGTTTTATCACGTTGGGTGTATGTTCTAAGAGCATTGTTTTTGTTATTTGGACGTTTTTGGGTTCTAAGAACATTTCGTGGTAGGGCTATAGGAATGCCGGGCCGGTCGGTCCCTGCTCAACAGGAGGGGAAGAACACGCACAATGAATTGTCGATTCCCAGGAAAACATGATCAGATATCGTAAGTGGGGGGAATGCCAACATCCAGAACATATAGGAAAATATGGGGAACCCTCGGATTTGGTGTCTATTTATCTGTGTGTCCCTGAGCCCCTTTATCTACGGTAGGTTCGCGTCGTGCCGTCCAGCGGCGACCCCGCTGGCGACGTTCAACGTTGAACGCCGCTGGCGACCCTGAGTCGGCCCATCGCTGAACGATCCAGCTTTCGTGAAGCGGCCGATCGTTCAAGTTGAATGACCCCCGCAGTGTCAGGAACCAAAGCCGGGGTCGACACGACGCGAACCTGCCGTATCATGCTACATCTACCTCAGGTCATGGGAGGTTGTATCAAGCATCGGCCTTGGTGATTCTTTGGCGCCGATCTGGCATGATCCTGCTTCGTCGCGTTGAATCGTAAAGATGCCGCTTGATCTGGCTGAGTATTTAATGGAATCTTTTTCGCTGCCTTTTCTGGGAGAAGGGTTATGGTACTCCACCACCACCCGGTGCAATGGTGGTGGTGTAAAGGGACGACGACGATGAAGATGAAGACGACGACGACGACGAAGATGAAAGACCACTGAAGACCGACGGCGATGACGACGAGAGACGGTCGATGCCGACCACGATGACGACGACCCCGAGTACCCGCTTCAACGTAGCAGCCCGCTTGCCTCAGTGCCCTGCCCGACCGACCCGCCCGCCCGAAGTGTTGTCCCACCCGCCCGCCCGTTGACAGGCGACCCGCATCCCGCCCGTTGACAGGCGACCCGCCCCGTAAGGATAGGCATCCCTCCCAAAGGGCACCCTTGCATCCTTGCTTCCTGGGTCCATCCTTGGACACTTTCGTTGGCCGCGCCCCGCTCGAAACGCTTCGAGATGGGCGTCCAAGGGCCTTGCACCCTCATCGCGCATCCTTACTCTGCGGGTTGACTGTATGTCCCGCCCGCCCGACCTGTCCAGCTTTTGAATGTCCGGCCAGCCAGAGCGACCTGTCCGGCTTGATGTCCTGCCCGCCCGCCGCGCCCCGTTGGCTTCACTGGCCCGCCCGCTTCGTCGGTCGTCGTCGTCGTCGGTCGTCTTCGTCGTCGTCGTCGTCGCAATCGTCGCCGTTGCTAGTCGTCGTCGTTTTCGCCGTCTTCGTCGCCGGGCAGGGCATTGAGGCAAGCGGGCTGCTAGTCGTCGTCGGGCGTTGGCGACGTCGTGTTGCCGTCGTCGTTGACGACGACGGTGACGACGACACGAAACGACGCTCGTCGCAATTGTCGCCGTTGCTAGTCGTCGTAGTTTTCGTGTTCGCGTGCAGGCCGCCGTCGTGTCGTCGTCGCCGACTAGTCGTGGTCGTCGTCGACGTCGTCGTCGTCGTTTGCCGGCGCCACAGGACGGGGGAGAGAGAGGGGGAGTAGGGTCCATGACCCTTCCTTCCTTCTCTAGGGGAGGGAGGGGTGTCTAGCAATGTTTTGGGGAGGGGGGTCCCCCAGCTTCGGATGGACCCCTTGCTCCGTTTTTCAGGCCAAGCGCCGGTGAAGCGCGCTCCCCCACGTCCCAGGAGTTGCCACCCAGTCTGCGTCGCGTCGCGTTCGCATTCGCATATCATAAGACCTACGTGGAGGTGCTCTGGCGGGCAGCGGGCCTCGTCCTTCTGTGCCGAGCTCGAGCCGCTGACCGATTCGATGTCGGCTCAAGTGCACGCGCGCCAAACTCAAAATCTTTCAGCCAGCAGATACCCCACGGAAGCTCATGGTCTCCTCCACTGCATCAGGGACCCTCAGGAGTTCAGGGGGGTCAGAAGCTCAGAGCGGTCGGCGGGAAACATGCCCCTAGGCTTCATTCAAGGGAGGAAAAACCACCCAGACCGGACAATTGCTGTTTGCTAAACGGCCCTGGTTGTTAACTAAACAGCCCTGCCCTGTTTGATTCTTCATTTGGGCGCGTTTACGAAACGACTTCGCGTGTCGGGGTGGTTCTTCTGGGGGGGATGTTTGCCTTCTATTCATACGGCAAGGTGTCTTATAATGTTGGCGTCGGCCCGAGTCGCGTCACCCGGCTGCGTGTGTTCTGGTTTGTCTCCAATCCCTCCCGTGTGGGGTTCTCGTTTCCGCTGGAGCGCTGCGGTCTCCCCTTCCCGCCCTTTCCCTCCAGCATCCTGTCGCTTCCTGCCTCCCACCTGCCTGCTACCTTTAAGTCGGGCCTGTCCCCCTACAGGGGGATTTTCGACGAAAAAAAAATAGCCGAAAATGTTCAAACAATAATCCAAAAGTAGTCTGGGGACTATTATTGGAGTATTGTTTTACCTTTTGGGGGTATTTTGGGGGTATTGTTTATTGTTCGTCGAAAATATCCCTGTAGGGGGACACGCCCGACATAGTGCTACCTCTCCATCCCAGGAGGGCCGCGAACTGTCCAGCTGGCGCCGCTTTCGAGGGCTGCTGGCGGGGACCGCGGATGTGGTGGGCTACGGAGGCTCATGTTGGACCTCGCC